ATACCCTTGGCTCAAAAACCAAATCCGAACGCTCGATACATCTACATTTCATCACCCACACCTAAATGGGTAACGATTCGGAACAGGGCGTTACAACTTGAAGCAGCCAGAACCACCTACCCTGCACGTCCCCTCGTGCGACCTGTCGCACTTGCTGCAGTAGCCTCGGCCTTGCTGGCCCTTCCCTCTCGTATCAACAACCTTGGGCCTTTTGCCCGGACCCCCTGATATCTGAACCTTATCTGGCTTCCTCTTCCTCTCCATCTCAAGATCAATCTCTCTCTCTCTCTCTCTCTCTCTCTAGCTCTCGCTATCCATTCCTCCAATGTCTTGCAGTTGGATCGGTTCACAAACTGCCGAATGTCACTCCTCAACATCGCATGATATCGGGCCTTCTTCACCTCCTCGTCCGCTACATAATGCGGAAGTAGAAGTGCCCTCTCCCGGAACATCTCGGTGATCTCATCCACTGTCTTTGTGGTCTGGTGGAGATCCTAAAACTCTCACGCCAACTGCTGCACCTCAATCACCAGTGCAAACTCAGCTCGAAACTTGGTCGATAAATCATCCCATGACATCACCCACTGCACGTCCTACCTCCAATCACCAGTCTCGTACCCTGTCCTTCAAAAGGCAGGAAGCTAGTCTGACCATGTCCCCCTCGGGGTAACGACTAACGACTGGTGAAGAAGGCGTTAGCAACATCCACTAACCACCTCTTGCTCGCTATCGGGTCCTTTGCCCCGTGATAATTCGGAGCTCCCTATGCCCGGAACTCCCTGAAGGTCAATGAACGCACCCTAACCAAGGACACCATCTCTGTGCAAAAGGTGCTCAACCGCTCATCCAGAATCTCCAGAATACCTACCTTGACCGTGCCAAAGATCACAGGAGTCTACTCAAGGATAATGCGCGTAATATCAGAAGAGATGAACTCCCTCGTCTGGTCAGCTAGCTGTCTGGCACCAGATCCTGAGCCTGAGCCCTCTCCAGCACCACAACTGCCAACAGGTCTGCCTCGCAATGTCACCATACTGAAAATAGACCATATAAACCATCAAAATACACATCAAAATATATACATCGAGGGATCACAAGCTCACAAGCTTCCTGGTTTCATCGCAACTCTCCCTAAATCGAGTACAAATCTTCTGCTTCCAGTAGTACGGGCCCATACTACCTTCCACATATATCCATACTTTCCTCAAGGGTTGCCTTGACTCCACTAAGTCACTTTATATCCATTAAATTTCCCCTCACATATAAGGCTCCCAACACTAGATCTCATTCTAGGTTTTCCTAGGGTAAACTCCACACCACTCTCTGCCATCAGCTGTAGAAGGAACTCTCGCTAACTTCCTCTAACTAGCTCACGAATATAATTACATATTACTAAAACTAGATAGTTCTTCGAATTAGAGGTCCCACACTATGACGGTTGGACTCAGACAAGAGTTGCACAATAGAGTTAAAACCTAACCTTCTAAAATTATATAGTTCCCATAGTATGTAACTTAGCATATTCGCTCACTAGTTAGCTAAAGCTAGTTAGAACTCCTATAAAGAACAAAGCAAGCAGCATTCGGGCATAAATAACCAGAATCAAGTATTACCTAATCAGGTCACCCTATCACTGACTGAACAGTAATAGCATGCAAGTCTACAAGCTCATACAACAGGCATACAAAGGCATCTCTCCTAGCATTCTATCATGTAAAAACTGAGCAGATCCTTAGCCCTAAATAGCATTCAATTCACATATTCACATATCAAATCATATCAGATAACATGTATGGGTGTTTTGGGTAAACTTACTTGAGCTCGGCTAATTGCATGCACCACACCTTTTCTTATCTTAGAAAACTCTTTTCTTAAAACTATATTTTATTTTAGAAATTTTTTTACCAAATTCTCAGTTTGAGTTTGAGTTTAGTCACACCCGAGAGTATGTCTGAATCCTTCAAAATAAGGCTCCGATACCAACTTGAGACATCACAAAAATAAGACCCGAAAACTTCATTTTTAATTTAATAAAGTCAATATTTCCAAAACATCGTCGGTACAAACCAACTAAAATAAATGTGCCAACCAACAAATCAATCAGAGTGAATCACAAAAAGCGAAACGAGGTGGTGTGTGCTCTGCAATCATCCCGAGCTCTTCCCCTTGGAACTTGAAGTACCTGAAACATAAACTGAAAACCGTAAGCACGAAGCTTAGTGAGTTCCCCAAGATACCGCATACCAAATCATATAACACATAACGGGCCCGCCCTAACTCGTATAACGGGCCCCGCCTAATGAGTATAATGGGCCCCACCCAAACTCATCAGCCCCCTCCCAATGAGTATAACGGGCCCCGCCCTAACTCGCATAACGGTCCCTGCCCACATACAATTCATACTACATAACAAGTAATAGCATACAAAATAATCATCGGTCCCTGCCCAGTAAGCATACAAGCACATGCATATTCTAGTATCCCACAGACAACGAGTATTCTAGCATAACAGATCATCGGTCGACATTGGTCCCTTCAACCAGCTACACATGATGAGGAAACTCACCTCGGATTGCTAAATCAAACTAATAATCTCTGGTTGTTGGTACGACGAATCCCCGAGCTATCAATATCAAATAACACCCAATTAACAATTGGAGTCAAATCTATATCCTTCAATCCATACTTAGGGTAAAAATACCATTTTACCCCATACCTAGTTTGGTCCAAGACTGAAGCCCAAACTTTCTGTTTAAAAGGCCCAAAAACCAATTATCCATCCAAGGCCCATATATGGCCTAATTCTCCAAATTAGGCCCAAATCCCTACATGGGCCTTACCCTAAGGCCCAACATTTTTTTTCCTAGTCCAAGCACTTGCATTTAGGTGGCCCAACAAGGCCCCAAGCAACTAGCCCAAAGAATAGCCCAAATCCGAAGCCCAAACATGCAAAGTCCATCAGACTGAGTACGCGGGGCGTACTTAGCTCGTACATACAACGTACCCACTTGAAGGCTTGTACGCTATGTGTACCTGCTTATATGCCTAACGTACTCACCCATTCAGCCAAAACTTGATTTCAACTCTTAATCCCTTAAGAAATAGTCCCAAAACATATATCTGACTTCCTTGAGCTGGAATATCTCGTAAAGTTGCTAACTTTACGTTCATGCATGGCTAAATGGATCTCTTAAGCTTAAAAAGGACTTAATAAGTGACGTAATGCATGCATGTGACCAAAAATCCCATAAAGCTTGCATCTTTATGCTTAAAGAACTCCTAACAAGCTCAGATCTAAAAGAATGAGTCCTTAAAACGTCTTAACCCTTCAATCAACCCAAAATGGGACCAAAAGCATATCAAAACAAAATATGAGGATATCTAAAAATTTACAAGACAAGATTTAAACTTGACATCTCAAAGAGATTGCAACAAGTGAGGTGATTCTGGATCTATGACCTTCCTTCCAAGCAAAGCACCTTCAAACTTCAAAGCTTCCTTCACAATGAGTAAAACAATCACTAAAATCCTCTCAAGGGCTCCAGAACACCACCAACAAAACTTAGGTCTTGAAAGACGTGTAATACATTTAGTTTTATTATGAAACATGATATAAAAAATAAATAAATTAAAGTTTCTTATTAGTTTGTATGATTGTTAAATATCTTTAAGGATATTTATCTTTCAAATAGCTTATTTATTTTCAACAATCTTATTTGAGAAAATGTTTTGATTGTCTTCATCACTATAAATGTGAATTAAATACTTTTGATTCACTTAAACGTAAAATAAATAATATGTGAGGTTGTGGAAAAGTAGGGCGCGTTTCGTTTGTGAAGTTTATTTGGAATTGGAATTTGATTCCAACAATTTTGTTGTTTTTGTCATCAACCAATGGGTATGTTTCTTTTGTTGTTTTTGTCATCAACCAATGGGTATGTTTCTCTTCAAGAATGAGATTGTTAATTTATTGGAGTGTGGCTTCAAGGGCTGATGAAAGCACATACAAAACTCAACTGATAAAAGATTTTTGAATAAAATTAATAGTCGGCTAAAGATAGAAGTATGTTCCTGGAATGCTATCACCCAAAAATATTTCACAATATCTATGATTCGTAGGAAGTATATAGAAGTATTCGGGGTAAGTTTATTTAGATGAATGAAATAGAATACAAAATATGTATCGAACATATCGATTTAACTATGTGGAGAAAATTATGCTTGTCGAAATGTATAGTCAATTTCTTAGTTAAGAAATTCTTGAGAACAATAACTTATTAGACTGTAAATTCAAATACTTTTAAGAAGTACTTTGCTATCTTGGCTGATGAATAAAATGATGTGTCCTAAAAGAAACAACTCGCTCTTTAATTGCATTATTTCGAGCAAAAATATTTATTAAAAACAGTTGAGTGATTTCTTGGACTTGTTCTTGTTAGGGTGGACGGTATCGATGGCTGGCTCCAGAGGGAGGACGACGGTACCACCAAGGCGAGGATTCCGAGAAGGTGATGGGACTTTATACTCCCTCCGTCCCAATATTATTGTCCACAGACAAAAAACACACATATTAAGAAAACCATTAATTACCACTAACTTTATTTAATAAAATAACAGTTTTGTCCTTACTTTGCATTTAATGTTTTATTAAATGCTTAGTGGGTTAATTAATAATGAGGGAGTATTTTGGTAAAAATGTTATTTATTTTTAGAAGTGGACTATTATTTTGGGACAAACCAAAAAGGAAAGATGGACTATAATTTTGGGACGGAGGGAGTATATGAATGTGCTAACTGGTGAAAAATGACCATTTCACCATGCTCTTTTATATAGTGATGGATGAAGTTGCTGAACAATTATAAAAACATACAGATTGTCATACAATATAAAATCCAAACAAGTTATTGCAAAACAGCACAAATCAAAAATCAAAACCCCAAAAGAGCAACTAATAAATTACTATCAAATTATTATTAATATTATTACAAACTTTTACAATTGCTGACAATCCACAAGAAATTCATATTCTTCCAGGCTATTACTCCAAGAATCCTCAAATCAAGAACAGTATACAAGACTTATAACTTCTTGATGTACAAATCATCTTATCAGATCATTCTACTTTAATTTGGGCTATAATTGTCACAAAATATCATCATAAGCAATAATTTCCCTACCTCTTGTTGGAATATTCAGACCTTTTCTTCGTCCACTGCTACCCTCAATCTCATTCTTGATCGTTGTGTTACCATCTTTTTTTTTTCATCTATGGTATTCATAATCACGGACCCAAGCTTGTTCCCTCTTCTATGTCTGCTAAGTAGTAACTCTGGTTTCAATAACTTTGATGACAATGAATAACCTTCTTTCTTCTTAACCCCTTCCCTTCATTGTGGCACTGGATCACTCGCCCACATCAGTTGTACCTGCAACATTATAACATCATTCATTTAGTTTCCTATCAAAATCTGATTTTTTGTGAGATTGTAAACCTAATTGATGAAGGATCATATCCTAGTGGGAATGAAGGATCAGGTATGAAAGAACCAACAATAGCAAACTCACTTGAAAAATCAGAACTTTTATCCCTCTCAACAGCAAAAGAACATTCAAGAGCAAAATAACATTCAAGAACAAACCATAAAAATCAGAACTTTCCCATTCAGATTTTGAAAAATCAAGAGCACAAATCGAATAATTCAACAACAAAATAATCGAACTTTTATCCCTCTCTACAGCAAAAATCGGTACTTTTATGAAATCGATTTCATGAATTAAGAGCACAAAGGAGTCGCCGAAAGAGGATGAAGAAAGGAGAATGCATACCTGATGAAAAGAGGAGAATGCGTACCTGATGAGAAGAGGAGAAGCTGTGATTGAAGGCGCTGGAAGAATCAATTTCAAGGAAGAATGTGAAAACGAGATGGAGAACCTGCGATTGAAGGAGATGGTTAAGAATCAATTTCAAGGAAGAATGTGAAAACGAGATGGAGAACCTGCGATTGAAGGAGATGGTTTGATAACAATCAGTTTCAAAAACGAATTCATGAAGGAGGCATGAAAGAGGAACGTAGGGAAGTGCACAGCTGGAAAATGTATGATGAGCGAGCAATATTAACGTTGAGATAAATAGTATAAAGAGTAATAATTTAATCACTTTTTGATGATGGGTGGCAACTTGAGTTGTCACGTATTTAGGTGCTAAAATTTGCCTCGAGTTGAAATTACTATTCCACTTTTAAGTCACTTTTAACACTCCTTTAATTCGCAATGTTAATTTCTTTTAATATTATTTAAGTAAGAAAGTCACTATATTATCACAAAATTTCGATTTTGACATTGAGTTAAATTTTTTTTCTCAATTATGTCATTATATTTACAGTTTTGTTGCAATATCAACCAAATGATTTGTTCTCCCGATAACTATTTTTCCTTAATTGCAATAGAGTCACTAAGTTTACCAAAATTTCGATTTTGACACCAAGTTTTTTTTTCTGTTACGTCATTACATTTATAATTTTGTTGCAATGTCAATCAATTGACCGATTCAGGAGATGTTACTGTGGTTTAGAAGCTCCATTTAGAATCTCGATTTGTACAACAAATAAATGAAGGTCGGTCCAATGGTTTAAATTTACTTTTAAGTTAGCGAAAAATACATAATCACCCTTTAAGGAGATGTTATTGTGGTTTAGAAGCTCGATTTATGCAACAAGTAAATGAAGACCCCTACAAGGTCGATCTAAGACCCCTACAAGGTCAATTTGTACAACAAATAAATGAATACCATACAAGGTCATTTATTTGTACATCAAATAAATGAAGATCCCTATAAATGAAGATACCTACAAACTCACTTCCAACCCAATTGACCGGTTACCATCAATCTAACAGGTTACCAAATAAATAACATTATAATATTGTGATGTGGAAGCCACATAAGATCTTATGTGGTAGGATTGAGTTTAAAATATAGGGTTTGCATCAAACCTAATTTCACATATCTTTTATGATTGATCTAGTGATTCAATCTCACTTAAAAGTCAGCGAAATGGATGTAATCACCCTTTTAGGAGACATGTAACATCCATTTCCGGGTACATAATTTAATTTGGTTTGAATTTGATCAATTGGCTAAAATCTGAAAACTAAAAACTAGATTTATTCGCAAGGAGGCGCATGCTGCCTATTAAGGACGCGACACGCCCGACCCATAGGCCGAAAGGCTTTTTAGGGTTTTGGAGGCTCTTTAAACTCCATTAACCCCTATGGTTTCGTGTTTGTAATTTCTTTTCATCTTTATAAGTTTAATCGTTAATTTCCCAAATAGTTTGTTCTCCAAATTTAAATTTCGTATTTTGTGAAATCCCACTTTCTCAAAAATTGATTACCATAAATTTCCCCTTCAACATATCAAAAATAAAACCTTTAGAACTACTAGCTATTGAGTCAATTCATCAAACACCGGTAGGTGCTATCATAGTAAAAGAGAGTAACTTTAGTAAGTTTGTCATCAATGTTTAGAAATCAATCATATACATGCAATGTTAGCCGTGTATACTTTACAAACGAAAGGTATAATATGCTTCCAGCTTTAACAACTAAGGTTACCATCCCTCCACCAAAGTTTGAGCTATTAAAACAAAGTTAATTTCCTCTATCGTTTACGCTTTGTTTTTTGGGTGTTCATGGGATTCAAACTGTTGTGCCAATTCCTTTTCCGTTGATTAATGAACCAGTTGTTGATTTGCTTGAGTTGTAGCCCTGTTTCTTCCACCAGTTTTGCCTTGTCATCTTCCTGTAAGTTTTTTTTTTAATCAAAACATGAAATACTTCAAATATCTATCTCAATTCTATGTAAAAATATTTATTGCTTATTTCATTACAGTTGGATATGGCCATTTGGAATGTTGTTGCCACCAATCTTTGAGCACATGTGTAGTATCACCAGGTAATTTTCCTGCTCTTCTCTTTCTCAATATTTCCTCCCTTACATCCTCTATTTTTGATCTAAATCCCTGCATGCATGCAAGTGATCGTATGGTTTAAATGTGTGTTTGTGTGTACGTGTAGGAGAGAGCAGTAGTGTTGAGTGTAAACCTGTTTAAGTTCGATTTTCAGTTCTTGACGAACTCTGTCCATAAGAGTTCGTTCAGATTCAGTAGGGAGAAGAGGACCAAAACCCAACATATCACCTGCAGACTGATCTACCGGAAAATCCATTCCCATCTCTTCTTCATCGTCATCTGACATTGTTGCTCCTGAACCTTCGTCAAGGGTTACTCCTGAATTAAATTACAAAAATACAATGAAAAAACACAAAATTTAATTTGCAGTGTATAATTCAAGGGAAAACAAGTGCAAAATTTATTTTTTTGAACAGATATTCAATAGATAAAAAGCTAGCGAGAAATTAGAATAACAAATAGATTAAACATTCTCATGTGCGCCATTGCTCCGGTTAGACCAACATAAACTATATCACCTCTAACCGGCTCATTTTGAGTAAAAGAAGGCTAAGAACTGTGGACCTCGTTAACTCGATCTTGTGTACTCATCATCTTGTTAAAAAGTTTGTGAAAACAAACCTTTCAATCATTCATTCCTTTTGGACATTAAATAAAATAATTAAATGGAATATATATATATATATATATATATATATATACTTTTTTAAATAATTTGAAATAAATATATTTTTGAAAGATTTTGATTACTTTTTACCAATAAAAAAATAATTGTTATATTAATGTGTCATTGAAATTTTACTTTATTTTATGGTTAGTGACAGACATTTTAGGTATCAAGCCAACCACTCCAATAAAGACATCTATTAAATTACAGTATTTAATTAGAGCTTGTAATTTATTTTACAATTACAGTATAAAAAATATACCAATACCAATACTATCATGAAAAAAGTATTTTGTTGAAATAAAACAAAGATTTGCGATGCAAGGAGTACATGAGGTCTATATTTACAAACACTTTTTTTATAACTTTTAACACTAAAGTAACAATATATCGTAGCTGTATATTTACAAATGGGAGGTAAAATTTTCAATAATGTTTTTGCTTCATCTATTAAAAGAATATGATTTGACATTTATATATTTTATTTTAATTGAGAATAGAAAATGATGATGATGATGATGTGTACAGAAGTTAAAATCATATTAATTTTAAGTAGATGTATAAAAAACATAAATGAAAATATCACCTCCTTTTAGAAAATATATTATGGCGTAGCAATAATGGTTGCTATGTGGTTAAAAAACGTTGCTATAAATGCATGAAGAATTTTTTAAAATTATATTGATAAATGCTTCAAAACACATACTTTATATTAATTTGAATAGATTGTAAATTTTACTAGTTTTAATAGACTAAACGACCCAGTATTTTGACTCTATGTTATATACGTTTACTACAAATGTTAATAGAATGTAATATGCTTATAATCATTCTAACCTATATAATAACCGTTATGGAATCAAAGTGATCTAATTTATTGTTATACAAATTATAATGGGTAAAGAAAATTTTCCAATTTTCATATGGTACTATTTTCAAGGCGTGACTTCACCTTTTTTTTTTCTTTTTTTGCTATAATTAAATACTAAATAGTACATCTGTACAATGGAAATTTACTACTTTAGGCCTTTGGACCACAAGACATTTAAATGATCTCATGTGTACATTGTCGCAGTTTGAAAAGAACTTTGCAGATATATCTCTACAAAGAATATGCAGGTTTGGCCTAATCTTTGGTTTGGGCATTTTATAAAGGCATTTGTAGTGTAAATTTTAGCATCGACTCTCTTTAAAAATAAAAGATTTAGATAAATTATTTGTAAAAGCTTACAAGCAAAAGTTCTACTCATTCATTCAAGCTCTTTGAGTTGTCATGCTCGATCAATCAATAGTTGGTGAGCCCCAACTTATCTTGCTTTATCGTGATATTAAGTGATTCCTTAAAAGTGAGGCCATGGCCCATGATTAGCCTAAGCTATAGTTGGTGGAGATAGTTTCATTGTCCCACATTGCAACCACCTTAATATATTAATTAAAACTAATAATTTTCCTATAGTTTGTTATTTTATTTGATCCATGGTGATGATAGTTGTGGCGTCCACGAAACTGCGCCCAAATATCATAAGATATTTTATTTTTAATTAATGAAGCATAAGATTGAATCTTAATTAAACTATGGTTGGTGTCCTATGTAAATTAAAAGGTTAAATCAAGATAAAGAAGATCAGAATTCTACTGCAAATATCGTAAACACATATCAATGTGTATTGATATGTGAGTAAATATACATACAATATAGATGTGCATCTATACAACAGGAGGAAAGAGGGTACCGGTGATAGCTTGTAAGCTATGCTCAATTTCACGGCAGGCCATGACAGCCTCAACAGCATCAACTCTGACATGTTGTTGCAGGCGATCTTTAAATGCACACAAAACCACCAAATACTGTGCCTGTTCCATTCAAGTAGTTAATTTACTTTAAAAAAATATTACGAATTTACATAAAGAAACACAAGAAGAAAACAATTCGAGAAAATTACCATGAAATTGTCAAGGTCACGGCGGTCGTCGGGAGGGAGAGGGTGGTGGTGGGGGTCGGATTTGTAGGAGTGGAGGAGATGCTGCAAGTGGGAGAGTTGGTTGTCGATGAGGGGCAGTTGGTCGATAGGTGTGGCAACTCGGAGACACCCTATATGGGCGGAGAGAAGCTGTTGGTAGAGAGGGTGGTTGGCTATCTCCACCTTCATCTTGCGGTGCCGGTTACTGGAAATAGACACCAACATATCTGTAAAAGCACCAGCGCCATCACCAAGGTTGCACACCATACCTAAATGCTGATCTTCCATATTGTTATGGAAGACCCAGATCTTGTATCCTATGTAGTATGTAGACAAATGGATATAGAGAAAAAAGTAAGTATATAAAAGCAAAAAAGATCAAGTGGGCCTGGGTTTTGAGGACCGCTTGTACCTGTGAAAGACATATAGTTTGAATAAATTATTTTACAACATCTTCAATCCGCCTTCATATTCCTCCTAGGAAAAATAATCTCCAATCTTATTTAATCTTTACCCCATTTTTTATCCAAAAAGTTACTACAACAATAAAGAACTACATACAAACCTATAGCTATAGATGAACTATAGAGACAACATATCCTCTCTACAAAGTTGACTAATAAAGTTTGAATTCATAATTTATAGCGACAACATATCACCTCTATAGATAAGACAGGAATGTTGACGGGTTTCTGAAAAACAATAGAGACGACATAGGTCTCCGATATATATATATATATATATATATATATATATATATATATATATATATATATATATATCTATATATATATATATATATATAATAATAATAATAACAATAATAATTTTTTTTGTCATGTATCACCTTATTAGACCTCATAATTAATGTCATGTCGCGTGTCAACCTATTGATTCTTCATTTTAAATTTTAAATTTCCCGCTCATTCATATTTATATCTCATAAGACAACTTTATAAAATCAGCTATATTAGATCGCAACATATTTGTAAGAAAATCAATCTCCAAAATTAAATTTGGCATATTAGGGTTTCAGTTCAATCGTGGCCTATTTTTTGGGAATAATCATAACCTAATTTCTTTTGTATACAAAAACCTGCACTTACTACCGATCTTGATCATTCAATATTTTGATATGTTTTTTTTAACTTCTAACCAAGAAAGCAAGTTATTGCTTCTTTTTGTCATTTATTTCCTTTGGATTTGGGGATTCATTATACTTTATAACATTTACCAAATGTTATTAGCAGGATTGTGTCGGTCGTTAGAGATGTGAATCCGCCACATCAAGTTATTGTGCTCAAACATGTTTTATCGCATTGTCCTTCTCTCGCAACACGACTCTCACACATATATCAGGCACTATACATTCTCCAAACCCATTTCACATCTTACGACTTTATTGCAGGTAGGGTTTTAATGAGTTTAGACAACCTTCATAACTACTCACAGGTAAGGATTTTACATTTTACGCTTGCTCTATTTTCAAACATATATTAACCAGTTTTTATGCTTGCATATGCAGCCAAGGTATCTCTCTATAACCTCTTTCTAACTATGTGTATGTATGTGTGTGTTTTTTAGATGATCTTCGCCCCTGCGTGTTTTATCTTTGCCCCCATGCAGAAATTGATCTTCAACAAAATAACTTGAAATCGGCCATAAAAAATCCCATGTGTATTCTGATGGAGGTACGACATACCTTCTTTCATGTAGTAGTTAGGTATTCCTTTTAAATAGCCTAAAAAATTGATCATATTAACCATCTCAACCCTCAAAATTTTCTTTTGTAAATAGCCTAAATCCCATTTGTATTCTGATGGAGGTACGACATACCTTCTTTCATGTAGTAGTTAGGTACACCTACCCATTGATACCATCTATCTTATTTACTTAGTATTTTAAAACTTGTCTTTATTATGTAATTTTTATGGTCATGTATGTTTCTGATTTCCAGGTAGAAATCTGATTTTAATTTCGGTGTGATGCACTTTCTAATTTCCAGTACCAAGTTCTTATAGAGTTCCTTTTTGTAACTTTATTTATATGTATGTGTCTGAAGTTATCAATTGCTTCTGTTGATGTTTGGTTATCCTTTCACAAGTCACAAGTGATGAGCTAGGTATCCACACAGAAGGGTTTACGTTATAATGTACAAAGATTTTGGATGATCATAATGCACCGGCTTGTGAGACTATAGTGGTTAAAGTATGATCATACTTTTGTCTATGAAACTTTAAAGACGTAGTTTAGGGGCTTTCTTTTAATTTCTTTATAGCATTGTACTTACCAAGAGATCTCAAACACAGTAGTTTTTAAAGTTTTGTTCTACAACTTAACATAAGTTGATATGCTTTTGTTTTAACGCTAAACTCATAGTTATGAGGTATGTAAGGTTTTGCTACTTCCTGTTTATCCTTATTCTCATTAGGGTTATCTACAGAAAAGTCCCAAACTTTTTTCAAAAATTTCAATAAAGTCCTAAAAGTTTTTTTTTGAACAGAAAAGTCTCAATATTTTGATTTTTTGCCTAAATTAACGAAAAAGTCCTTTTTTATATTTGAACAACAAATGATAGATTATATGATTTTTTCAAAATATTGAGACTTTTCTGTTCAAAAATTTTTTTTAGGACTTTATTGAAATTTTTGAAAAACGTTTGGGACTTTTCTGTAGATAACCCTTCTCATTATGTTGTTTTTCTTTGGAAGTTATATTCTTTAGCTTAATTATTTTATTGTATATCCTTTTATGTTAGATTCTCTTGTAAACATAGAAAAATAGGTTTTTGTTTCTTAATTCTTGATTGTTTTTTTAGGGTTTTAAGTTGGTTACCTTGTTACTATTTACAAAATTATGATTAATGATTATGATTTTTTAGTCTTTATATTTTGTCGATATCCACAAATAAAAACTCTCATATATCTTGAAAACTAATTTCACATACTTATGTGAATCAACGATTATAATTTTACATAAATAAAAAAAATCTCTTAATTAATAATTTATTGAAAATAATTGATTAATAATTATGAATTTTTACTATAAAAATTTAATTATTTTAATAACCATAGTTCCC